CCGAGCGCGGGGCGGGGGCAGCTTGTAGACGCCCCCGCCCCTTGCGAGCGGCGCGCGTCGACACATTAGAGACGCACTTCACTGAGGCGGAAGTTTATGCGCATCACCTCACACAATCACTGGGGTGTCATCGCCGCCACATGACACATTGACACATGACACACGGTGTCAGGCGGAGGTGACCGTTGCCACATTTGTCAGTACATGTTGCGAGATAAATTTCACACAAACGATTAGATGGCGAACACAGAAAGTTATCGATATGAAAGAATTTTTAAAAGAAAAATAGATTTGATAAATATTTACAACAAACAATAGAAAAATTTGTAAAGAAATCATTCGCGAAGAATTTATCTCGGATAAATGCTATGGATATAAATTTAACAAAATCGATTCCAAACATACGCGAGTACAATTTAGATGTTATATCTAAATAAATAAGTTGACAAATGTAGCTTTCATGGTGAGGTGTGTTGCCGCAGTGGTGGTGATGGTGGTGGTGGTGTCACGTGTCAGTGCAGGGCGCAGGGGCGGGCGACACGTCGCTATTGCGGGGGCGCGCCGCTGGGGGGCTGCCCGCCTAGTGGACCCATACCCTGCACATAACATTGCACAATTACTTCTTGTACACAACGTATAGCTATAATATAATATGAAAGTGAGTGTATGTGTGTGGTGATGTACCGGCATGGGCTGGTAGTGGTGTAGGGGGGCGGGGAGCAGCTTGGGCGCCTCCTCCGCCTTCTCCTCCTCGCGTCGCTTCAGACACGCCGCCTTCGGGTTCAGGTTGCGTTCTGCAACACAACACGCACAATCAATCACTCTCAACTCTGAACAGCAACAGTATAGCACATCATATCATTTTAAATAGGATGTATTTAAGAGCTCTATCGTATTAGATGTATTGTTGCGTAATTCTGACCTCTGACTTGCTGCTCGAGCGTCATGATGACCTCGACGGCCATGTTGAGTATGCCGAGCTTGGTCTGCGGCTTGTCGCTCTTCAGGTGTGTCATACACATGCGCCCCAGCTCCTTCAGCGCCTCGTTTATGTCACGTATTCTTATCCTGCACACGTACACACACACACATGCAATAACATTATACACTGAATTATTTTAAATTGCATCTAAATGACACTCCATCATAATGAATATATAAACAATTGCTTTAGTTCATTATAATTATTGTAACAACAAAATGTCACGTCGGTCGCGCACCATGCTATATTGAAAAAATAAATCATTCAGTACATGAAATAATTGAAGCCAGCCACCGCTTTTTAAATATATAAACGATGAAATAAAAGACAACAATTTGAGTCATAGTATACGCAGAGTGAGGTGAGGGGCGGGGCGGGGCGGGNNNGGGCGAGTGTGTATGAGGGCGGGGAGCTCACCTCTCCCGGGCGTTGTTGGCCTGGCGGCGCTCCTTCTCCCGCAGCGCCTTTGCGTGAGGGTCCGCGTCCTCCTCACCCTCGTCCGCTGACGAACAACTATTGCACAACGCAATCCTTACATCAACCACGTCTCACAACTACCCACATTTATACTTAGTACGCAGGTAACGTTGGTGTGTTTGTTACTGGTATTGTGGCAGCTGCAGTGTTTGATCACTTTTTATTAAACACCATTTTCATTGGAAAAAGTAACTTTAACTTTCTTTGAAAAATTAACACTTGTTGACGTTATTGGCGTGGCTTACCTGTGGACGGGGCAAGGGTCAGGGGGCAGGGGGCGGGGGGCGGCGCGCGAGAGAGAGACACCTGACCTTCCGTTTCAAATGAACAACGCAACAGAATTGAACCCGAGACCTCTGGTTAGTTACAAGCGCATGACCGATACGTTATAACGTTAATGAATGAATGATTATATTTACAGGTTTCGAAACCCTAATGAATGACAATAAATACCCCAAAAGAACGAATGGAATAAATGAATCTAACGTTAATGTGAACTTAGTTAAGAATATACATTTTTTTGATTTTATTTTAATCTGAAATAAAAACTTTCAGGCGATACGATTTTTATTTTGGTTCCGTATTAAACGTAACTTATGTACTTACCTTATACCTACAATACAAACAAACACACAAACATACACAGATATAAATGCAATGAACACACATACATTGTATACTATGACCCAAACAGTTAGCAGTTTAGCGGTGGGTGAGGTGGCAAGCTGAAACTTTCAATATACATGGTGGTTAGTGCGCTCAGTATACATATGTCTTATTTTATATATTCAGTATGTATATTTGATGTGCAGGGTAGTACAAGAATAATATATGGGAAATCATATGGTCAATTTTTTTGTTTCAAAAATATGTTTATAACTAAAGTTTGACTTTCAAAACGTATTTACGAAACATTGTTTTTATTTAAAATGTACTGGAAATTTATATTTAAACATAACATATAATATAAGTGCTGTTGTCATAGACTATGTTACTCTGAGATTATGTAACATAGTAATGGGAAAGGAATTTTTAATATAAATCCATTATTTGTGACAATTATTTCTGTTATTAAAGACAAATAATAAGAAAGGTGTATGTATGATGTATGTA